AATGTTTTTGCCAGAAAAAACAAAACAAAAACAAACAAAAACTTCCCCCTAGATGCATGATAAGCTCTAAAAATAATTGTGCAAGTATTTAGAATGGTAGATTTTAGAAGAAAAAAAGGATCAAAAATATAAGTGGTTAAAAAGTAAAATAATGGTTTATTTATAAAAAGAAAAGCTGTACAGCAGTCAACATAAATGATTGGTGGCTTGGTGCATCAATATGGATAAAGCACAAAAGCTCAAAGCAGGGTAAAATATGTAGGTGCAGAATATATATGGGTTTCAAAAGCTCATGGAAAATGCAATTAAAAGGTAAATTTATTTTGTTTGCAAAAACTTTGAACAATGTGCATATGAGGAAGTCTCTGAAAAGTTCATGCACAACATATATTTTGAAAAATGGGTTTCCGTGTTTTTTGTAGCAATGTAAACATCTTTTATTTCCATCTTCCATAAGCTCTTTGTATATTTTGTGTGACAACATTTATGTAAATGCCTTAAATGTATTTTGTTAATAAACACAGGTAATCGCTAAATCTAGTAGTGATCATATGTTTGGCACCTCATTCTGTTATTTTTGGGAGGGGTGCTAGTGATAATTAATTTAAAAAGATAGAACGAAGCAGAAGTGTAAGCAGACACACACAGCAGCACATGGAGCTTCAGGTACTGAAGCCAAGGCACAGGAGCCAGAGCTCTGTAGCTGTGTACTGCTCACATGTCACCTTTCAGGTTAGCTATGTGCACTGGGCAATTCAGAATGGTTCCTGGCTTCCCTCCAGGCCCCTGGCAGGTGCTCAGGGCATGGCCCATGGTTCCAGCAAACTGAAGCTCAGTTTTACAAACCTAGCATCAAAGTTTCACAAAGTAGCTTCAAAATCGCTGAAATGTGCCTGCTTCCTCTAAATTAACTGCCTGGCAGATGTCCGGAGCCACAGGTAGACAATGATTTGCTTTCTTGTACAGGCGAGTTCTGCAGGCACAGCTGTCCTTGGCAGTGGGGCCAAGACCTCTCTGCCATCTGCCCCTCATTCCAGGCCAAGTTAGTCCTCAACACACAGTGGTCAGGGCGGTATGTGGTGTCGATGCCAGCAAGGACATGATCTATGACAGCTTTGGGTCTGGTTCCTTGGGGTGTCTTCAGTGAGCAAGAGTTGTTTCTGTCGAACTGGATGAGTGGAAAGTGCTAGAAGTGCAGAGGAGGCCAAAATGCAGAGCGTCCTTTGTTGGGAAGGCCCTGTTCTGAGCTGCTCCTTTTGGAAAACAGCAAATTCAGTGTGAATCGATCATGCAGCTTGCACAGAGGGGTCATACATGGTGCTAAGCACACTACCTTTGATGAGAGCTGTTTGGATTGTGGAAGGAAGTTTGTTGTAACATCAGTTATGCAGGGAACCCTGAGAATTGAGTTTTTATAAGATGTTTGTTATAGATAGTATGGGGAAGTTGCTAGTTAGGAAACAGGTTAGTGCTGTGTGGGTAGAAAAATAAACTTTAAGGTCCAGAAGGAGTCTTGTGATAATATGAATTAAACTTTTCCATGTTGATGAGAGAATGGTGGCTTGACAAAATTGTCTTCTTGACCAAATTTTAATTGGGCTCTGCTGTATCTTCTGGAATGGGCTCCAATCATAGGCATTCTTCGGATCCCCATTTTAGCAGAAACCCAGCTAAGTCAGACTCTTGCTAACTGATAGAAGTCCAACACTGTTGCCTAGGTGATACCTGATCACAATGGCACGAAGTTCTGCAAGAATCCTGACTGTTTAGCTAAGAAGTACACTCTACTCTCATTTTCCATATACTGAGCATGCTCTTTGACTCTAAGTCTGTGCTTCTCATGGTTTTATTTGCAGTTAATTCTTTCTTCCCTTCTGCAAAACTCCATGGCATCAGCCCTATGTTTATTGCAGCCATTGTGAGTAAAGTCTGTCTTACCATTTGCACAAGTGGCAAAATAAGTTTTATTTTTTTTCTCTAATAGACTGAGAGAAGTGATTTTTCCATGGTAACAGTTTTGAGTGCATTTCATCATCAGCCCAGTTTCTGGAATTTTGGACTCAAAGTTCAATGTTCTTTCCTCACACCAAGCTGTTTTCATGCCTTAGAGGGTCTAGAACCAATAAGTACATCATTCCATAAGATATTTAGTTTGTACTAATAAAAAGTATGTACCTCCTTTAGAGATCATGGTCTGTCTGTTCTCTGCGCCAGATAACACAGCTACTCAGGATGACAGGTCATTTGGCTTTAATTCTAATCTGAGCGTTACAGGTCCTTCTGTGGCATGAGACACTACTAAACCTTTTCAGTCTACATTAGTGCCAGAAACACCAAGTGTTTTCTGTATATAGCTATGTATTGTGTTGCCATGAGACATGAGCAGTTAGTTAAAAGTTGTGAATGGATTTAAACAATCTAATTCATTCATTCTCAGAAATAAAAACAGAAAACACAAAAATCATAGTGTGGGTTTAAGGCATTGGCCTATTTTAAGAAATTATGCTTTTTTTTTTCATAGAGAGGGTCAAAGAAGAGGAGTCAAGATTTAAGATGGCACAAACCTAACAGTAGGACAAATGCTAAAATAAAAATACCACTTTTAGAAACTGGTATAAAGCCACAACAGACGTGATGAGGTTGGAAGAAAGGTCCTACTGGATTAGATGTTAAAGGCTGGGAGGAATTTCCCTAGCAGAGGAACTGGGGGATGGATGGTTGAGACAAAGACAGTGTTGTGTTTAGGCATGGAGGGTAATGAAAATGGATGGGCCCATGAAATTTATGGAGTCTGATGAGAAAAAGGGCAGAGTGACAAGTGACTAGAAATGAATTAAAAGGCAGGTTGAAAAAAGATTTTGTAAGACAGAGTTGGAAGATACAGCGGAAGTGTTTGAAGATGTTAAGTAATTAGTACTACATGAAGTGAGGTGAATAAATATGGGAGTTGAAATATAACCAGATAAGAGCATGGCTGATGGGTAGATTTGGAGGGAAGCTTGCAAGAAGAGTTTCCAACTACAGGGCTATTGTAAAAGTTGTGATGTATAAGCCATAACATTTGCATGAAAGTGCAAAGGACCTAAGATAATAAGGAGGCAGAATCATGAAGACTTGGGGACTGAGCTGAGTGCGAGAGATAAAGGCAACTAGAAAGATTGGGGATGATTATAAGTGCTTCAGCATCAGGGGTGGATGGGAGTCAGAGGATCAGAACTCAGCTTTGGCAAGGGTGGGGGTGTGTTGGTTATTAAAATTATCTCACCCAATTCTGTGAGAAGCCAGTACCCCAGGGAGGGATTTCAAATACTGACATTTGCTTACATAGGAAACATGTGGAATTTGCATAGTAAGTAAAGCTTTATTCTGGGAATTTGGGGGAAAGGAAAGAGCTCTTGTTGATTCTTATCTTTTTTTTTTAATTGCGTTGCTATACCTGAATACTGTTAGGCTGTTTCCCATGGTTATGGTTTTGCTGCCTTACATATTTCTTGTGAGATTATTATCCCCATTTTTCAGATCAGAACCTTGAGGCACTCTCAGATAAAGTTACTTGCACTTGACTGTGGAACCACAGAACTGAAGCTCAGAATAAAGCACATTTTTCTACACCTAAAGTTCATATTATTTCCTTTTATTGCGGTGTATTGTGAAGCTCCTTGTGGACAAGGAGCTTTCATTGTATTTTGCAGGGCTGAGGGAGGACAAAACATGAAGAAATCCCTCAGGATGCTGTCAGGACACTCCCAGTGTATTTGGGGCATAAAGATGGGAAAAAATTGTCCTTATTGAGATGGGAGATGAGCAGCCCTAAGAAGGGGGCTACTGAAGTTGAACAGGGAAAATGAAAGTGAGTGATTCAGCTAGGCCTGGGGACAAGGAATTTAGTTGTTGTTGAAAATAACTCTAAAAGTCACTGTGTCATTTTACTACTATGCTTTTAAAGCTAAGATAGAGCACAGTGAAGAAGCAGATTAGGGTTAGAAGGTAGATGAAGGCTCAAGGGAAGGAAGATGCTCAAAGCCAAGGAGAGGCCAGAGCTAGAAGTGGAAACTGAGATTGAAATGGAATGTCACAAACTCAGTTGCTTTTGGTGAAAGTAATTTGACTTCTGCCCTTTCAGAATCTGAGCTAAAACAATGTTGTGAATCTAACTGAGGTGGGTGATAACAGGAAGAGGAGCTGAGAGTGATAATGTTGAACTGAAAAGGGAGGGAAGCATGTATGGGGCAGGAAGCTGAGGCTTGGTCACATGGAGTCGAAGTCTTAAACACTACTGGTTGGTGCATCTCTCTTACCGACCGTGGAAGAGCAGATGGAAAGGGAAAAAGCCAAGGGACAGGCTGCCTTTGTTCTCTGAGCCTTGACCATTCCTTCAGCATAAGGTCAGTCTATTGGAAACTGGAGTCAGAGGAACCGCAGGTAGCCAGCTCTGTAACTGGGATGATAAATCACTGGAAACAGTTCAGTGTTGATCTTTCGTCCTGGATGCACTTGATCATTGTTTCATGTCCAACATCCAAGTCTCTGCATGATTTGGCCTCTTTTGGCCAACAGGCCTCACAAGTTCTTGGTCACTTTTTCTCTGACCAAGAACCCTCTTGCCTTAAGCTTGGGGACTTCCAGAAACTGTGTCATATCTTTCCTGTAGAGAAGGACCTCTCACAGGCTTCTGTGCCCCTTTAAAGAGCCATACAACACAGGAGGGTTGGGTCCTGTGGGAAGCAGGCTGTCTCCAGCAGCTCCTTTCACTGTGCAACATCCCAAAGGGCAAAAAAGTAGGTCTCTAAGAAGGGCTAGGAGCAAAGGGCAGCAAGCTTAGGTAGTAAGAAGATGCATTAGTCTAATTGCTCTTCTAAAATTCATGGGGCTTTCTTATCTCCAAAGAACACTTTCAAGCTCTCCAGTGATTTGGGAATAAAGCTGCTGCTGGGGGAGAGCCTTGGTTTCCCCTCAATCAGTAAAACAATCTTTCCCCTTCTTTTCTCCCTCATCTGCAGGTCAACAGATTATGGTACCACCTATGAAAAGCTGAATGACAAAGTGGGTTTGAAGACTGTCCTCAGTTACCTCTACGTCAATCCTACCAACAAACGGAAGGTAAGTGGTAGAGATGTCCATTGAGTGTCAGTCTGGAATCATTCATCTGTACTATGATGTTTATTTCACAGCTAAGGAAACTGAGAACAAAATGTCTACATATTCAGGTAGAAAAAGGACCCAGGATGAGAACCCAGTAACTTTGCCTTGTCCTTGATCCAGTCATTAGATTCAACATTGCTGAATGATCTAAAATGAAAGCTCGTTGCTTGTCCATGGTGACCACATGATGAGATTTGATTGCGTTAGTAATGATCTGTATCATTTTTCCTTTTTTCTGCCTTCATCAAAGAAGAGCCAAGGCTCATGGAAGATAAATGTCCTACCCAGATCACTCAGTTGGCTGATGGTGGCATTGGCACTTCCTTTTACATTCAGTAGTGTAGTGCCCCTCCCTTTTGTACCAAGGACGTCTCTTCCATGCAGTCAGTTGGGAACAGAGTGGCAGGAATTAAATTTTTGGCATGTGAAAAAAGCTGTATGAGCACTGACCTCTGCTGTACCCAGATGGAATTAATCATATTTCCATGAAGGTGATAGATGAGTTGTCTTTCTGAAGATGCCCCTGGTAATATGTGAAGGGTTATCTATGTTTGCATCCATTTGGGCCTTTGTCACATGGGATTCCTGTTGGATCATGATCACATTTCTGTTGTTACTTTGATGTTTTTCTCTCTGTGTGATGGTTTGAACTCTCAGCATGATGTACGGGTTTTTAGACATGGAGGGAGAAGAAGGTGGGTTACGGTAGTTGTTGAGGCCAAGAGGACTTCTAACCTGTAATTTGGAGAGTATTGACACAAAACGATCGTTTCTGTTTGTTCTTCACAGAGGTGTCGTTCAGGCTGTGGGCTCTCTCTGGGTCCATTGATTTTCTCTCCCTTCCTTTCCCTCCTCTCCCCCCCCTCCCCTCCATTTCCCTTCCTTTCTCTTCCCTCCTCTTCCCTTCCCTTATTTACTTTCTTTCTTTCTTTTTGTTTTCTTTTGCTTGAAAGTCAGATTTACAGAGCGAGCGAGAGAGAGATCCTCCATCTGCTGGTTCACTGCCCAAATGGTTACAATGGCCAAAACTGGGCAAGTCCAAAGGCAGGAGCCTGGAGTCTCTTCCGTATAGGAGCAGGGTTCCAAGCATTTGGGCCATCTTCCACTGCCTTCCTAGGCACATCAACAAGGAGCTGGATTGGAAGTGGGGTAGCTGGAACTCTAACCAGCACCCATTTTTGATGCCAGTGCTGTAGGCAGAGGCTTAACCTACTGTGTCATGAGGATGATGAGCATAGGTTAGGTCAAAGGACCATTCATTGCCACCACAAGGCAGTACCTCCCAGCATGTTAAAATCTACCAGTATTTCTTTTTTACTCTGATTAGGGAAATGCAAATTGCAGGCTAGTGCCATGGATGTATTTATTTGGAAATAGCAATATAAATTAATGTTTATGGGGCTGGAATGGTGGCATAGAAGGCCAATCTTTCATCTACAATGCTAGCATCCTGAATGAGTGCTGATTTGTGTCTTGGCTGCTCCACTTCCAATCGAGCTTCTTACATATGAACTGGGAAAGCAGCAAAAGACAGTTAAATCCTTAGGCCCCTGCACCCATGTGGGAGACTTAGAGGAGACTCCTGGCCACAGATTGGCTCAGTTTGAGCTGTTGTGGCAGTTTGGGGAGTGAACCAGTGGGTAGAAGACCTCTCTATTTCTCCATCTCACTATAAAATCCTTCAAATAAAAATAAATAACTTTTAGAAAAGAGAAAAACAGAATCGAATATGCATACGAGGCCTGTGAGATCCTGAAGTACTCTCTGAATCATCCAAGGCAACATGCAGTTTCATTCTGTTTTCTTGTAGTCAGTGGGTTTGCTGTGTTCTGAATCTCTGGGAGGAAATGCACCCACATTCTCCATGACTTGATCTTGACCAGAATAGTTTAGTCGGACTCTGCCTTCTGCAGCCACTTAAGATGTTCAAAATAAATGACAGTGCATGCATTTGTTTCTTTATTAGTCTGGAGTTCTAGGTCATTATGACCTTGCTATGCAACCTTTTAAAGCTATTTAGACAGACCTGGAAGAAATGTAAGCCTGCGGCCTCCTGTATCCTTATCTCAGCTTGCCTTATTCCACTTTCTTTTGATTGTCTCAATACCCAAATTATCTGTAGTGCCTCCTGCTCATCAGCTAGCTAATGGCAGCCATCTTGTGGAAGCACTTGCTTTTCACCTGATGAGTTATTTATTTAACAGATGGCTGCTGAATTCCTCAGAGGATATGAATACATCAAACGCGATCTGTTGCCCCTGGCAAAACAGTAAATTATACTGAAATTTCTAGAGTGACTCGTAAAGATAATTGTTGCTTTCCTAAGCATTATCTTTGACAAAATCTCCAAATACAGGTAATATGCCCCTAAGTTGAAAAGTGTTAACGCATGTAGTGTTACTGTATGTATCTTTAACATGTACATTATACATTGATGATTTCAGCATTAATAGAGAACTTACTGTGTTTAACTCTTGTAGGAGTGCTGTCTACAGGATTTTCAATCCTCTCAAACTCTTCAAGATTAGGGAATAGAGTCCTGTAAATTATCCCCAATGTCCTATTATTTTAAATGGTGGATCTCCAGGAGCCTTCCTAGTGTGTTTACTTGGGAGACAAATGATTTATCAAATTATTGGGAAGTGATACTCTGAGCTGCTGCAGTGGAAGTCCTGGAGCTTCCTTTGGTATTGTGGCATCAGCATTATGCAAATAACCTTGACCTGGCCTGACTCTGTTTGATGTCAATTCTGCATCTCTGGCTGGTGGCTTTTGTCCCACCATCAGCCAATTAGCTCATCCTCTGGGTTTAGGCCTAGCATTGTTAAGGGAGCCCCACAATGCTGATTGTATCTGAGTCTGACCCTTGGAAGCTAAAAAGCAGGGTATTAGTTGTGGAAGCTTCCCTGAGGCAGGACATCACCGTGGTGGGAGCTGTCCAGCTCCAGCATGCCATTTCTCCTGCGCCTGCATGTGCTAACTATCCCTGGGTCTCTAGGACTCGTTATTCTCCATTGCTTCTTGTCCTCAGACCCATGCAGGATGCAAGTGCTATAATCAGTACTGCATTTTCCAGAGCTCTGTGTTGTATAACAGGCTGAAGGATTTCTGCCTCAACCAGAGAGGTGCTTGACTCCCAAGGGTGAATCTATTTGAGAATGAATCTGTGAGTGGATTTGGAAATGCAGGCCTGTTGTGGTCTAATTACTCTGGCTCAGAAGGGGCTACCACCTGCAGCTTTTGGAGACAGTGTGTTGGAAATGGCAGAGAACCCACAGGTTTGACTGCCAGGGATTTTGACCAAATGACTGCAGAGTAGAGGTGTTCTGTGTGTGTGTGTGTGTGTGTGTGTGTGTGTGTGTGTGAGAGAGAGAGAGAGAGAGAGAGAGCTGGGACAGAGAATATGAAGTCTGATATCAGAGCTGGACAGTTGCTTCTTTTTATTGAATAAGTTCCAAACACTAGGCTAAGTTCATTACTGTATTTGAAGTTTTACAGTACTTTTTCGTGCCTGGTAGCTTCATCCCCATTTGACAGGCAAAGAAATGAAGGCTCTAGCAGACGAGTCACTGTATTCCTGTGTAATAGCAAGTAGGTTTCCCCTGAACCTCTGGCCATAGGGCTGGTTTCCACTGCCATGAATACAAAGATCAGGTGAGTTGAAGTCATCGATTGATTAGTATTAATTCCATTACTTGTTTCTTGCTCATTAGTGTTAGAGGATTAGAGGTTTCTTAGAGGAGGAGGGGAGTGTTAGGTCCTCCATTCCTAATTGATTTACCAGTGAGAAAGATAATTACTTCCAGGCTACCCTGCAGAAATACGGTGGGATTTTTGCAGTGTGCAAGCCACCTCTGCCACACTGTGAGAGAGGCACTGTGGGGATGGTCAGATGCTGATTCTGCCTGTTCTTCCTTGGACAGAGCAGTACAATCCCAAACTCTTCATAACACCCTGGGAAACCCCTAAGCAAAACACAATGCAGAATTAAAAAAATGTAGAACCTCAGTTTTCACTGATCCATGCCTGCCAGCATTGTTGTAGGGTCTGGGAATGCATGTAGTTGGGTAATGAGCTTTCAGTGCACAGGCAATAAAGTGTCTTACAGGAAAACAAAGCAACAACAACAACAAATCTGGGAAGAAAATGCCATTCTCCTAAGCAATGTCTTCAGTGTCTGGCTCTGGGCAGAGCTTTTAAGGGGTGCAGTTTTCTGCTTGCTCCAATTCACCTGATCAGACAAGATGCACTCACAGAGTCAATTACAAATGTGGATCTGAGAATTCAAACTCACATGCTCACAGGGACCATCAGGTAATTCCAGTGAGGGAATGAGCCAGCTTGAGGCTTTAACAACCCCTTCTTTAAAAGGGATTTGGCAGATGACATTCTCATGAAAATGAGGGTCTAATAAAGCTAGTTGTTGTTAATGCCCTTGTTATTATTTTTTTTCCGGTTTTCCTAAGAGGTTCATTTATGCATATTTTATATGAAACATGCATATTTTGAAATGTTTAAAATTGACTAGGTATGGAATTTAGAGTGGTTGTCCCCCAGCCTACTTCCATCCTCTGTGTCCAGTTGGCATCGAATATCATATTCTGAGTGGTCTGTGGCTGAGACATTGATCTTTGCAAAGTGGTCTTTGGTGTGTCAGGACAATGCTGTGTAAACTCTTCCTGGGGACCCACACTGGTTGTTATTACCGCACTGGAGGTGACACTACAATCAGAAACCAGAACCCGAGCTCCCTGGAGTCCAGCTGCCAGCTGCCTGGATCTGCTTGTGGTACTGAGCAAAGGGGTTGTGGAGCCTCCCCTGCTGGGCTGCCTGTCTCCAGGCTGCCTTGGGGAACATGTAGCACCTGGTCTCTGGATTCCCTAAGAGCCCTTCCTCCTCTGGGAGGCATGCTGCCACTCCTCATTTCCCATCCCTGTCCAGGGCTTTTAAAAAACCAG